CTGTCCCCTACAGTGCGCGGAGCAGGAGGGGTGGCCTGGGGGCTCCATCGGACCCTTTCAGCAGCTCTGCAGGTGAAACCTCAGAAGTAGCTGAAGCATAAGAGAATGACTGAGCACAAGCATTCTGGGGGAGGGACCAGAAACCCCCCCCCATTTTCCTATGCCAAGCTCAGTCAGAGCTTTGCCCACTGCCTCTTTAGTCTGCACACTATTCACAGAGGAGTTAAACATGAAGCCTAGGGTACAAGGGGCAGGAGGAGATGCTGAAGCTGACCCAGTGGACTTAGAGTTGAACCAAAAATACACAGATATGTCAAATGACACCTGCATAAGGTTTCTGGGCACTTGAGTAGAACATTTACCAGGATGAAGTGATGTGATAATTAAACACCTTCTCTGGAAACCCCTCTTTTCATTACTATCTCCTATTATTTTAAAGATGAATCTTGGGAATAACAGGTGTCATCTGTTTTGAAAAATTAGTAATTAAGTAATTTCAGTAAGTAGCACACACACACACACACACGCACACACACACACGCACATGCACACATATTCCAAGTGAGGACTCGGGGACTCTGCCTAGTCCTAATATATTTTACTTCTCCAGATTTCGAGGCCTGTGGTGCTTTATTCTCTCTTGTTTGGCTCTTGTCGTATAGAGAGCAAAACTGAACAGCAGCTGGAGGCTAAAGTCAATTCCCATTCCAGAAAAGACGACTGTATTTTATTAAATGACATTTCTTTCCAACTGCTACAGTCATTTCTCAACCCCTCCATACGCAGTCACTTCAAGAACCTGTAGAAATGGCACTGAGGGTCGTATGTGTTCCCTACTTATGAGCCATTCTAGAAACAAACAAGGTGCTGGCTCTAGATCTCAGATTTACACCTTCAGTGGTCATTAATAAAAAAATGAAGTCTTCCTAATTTTTTCTTACATCCATCTTATAAAATTTGTAATTACCTGATTTTTGAAATTTAAAGATTCAAAAAATTAGTCATCTTCCATCTCACATCTCATCTGAAAGGAAAGGGAAGCCAACAAGCTAGTAACGGAATATGAATCAGAAGAACCTCGTTCTACTGATTAGCAGTTCAGTTCTGTATGCAACAAACGGCACTGATACTCTGAAATTCCAAAATTAGACTCACTGAAACCAGGTAAGTGCTATGGCCACAGCCAAGTTATATTTCTAGGAAGTGCTAGATATTCTGGCAGAGAAGTCATTCACTGTTTAAGAATTCTAACATTCACTAAAATATAGGAATAAACTATAGACTTGCACAATACACCAGAAGCTGATAGGTAAGTTCCTAGGAGGCTTACATGGAGGTAAAATCAACATCCACAAAACTGAAGCCAGCCCTGGCTGGGTGGCTCAGTTCCTTAGAATGTCATCCCATACACCAAAAGGTGGTGGGCTCAATTCCTGGTCAGGACACATACCTAGGTTGCAGGCTCGATCCACGGTCAAGGTGCATATGAGAGGCAACTGATCAATGCACATCGATGTTCTCTCTCTCTCTTTCTCTCTCTCTCTCTCTCTCTCTCTCTCTCTCTCTCCCTCCCTCCCTCCCTCCCTCCCTTCCTCTCTCTCTAAAACCAATAAAAACAAAAACTCTAAAGCTAAACCTAAACTCCTTTATAAAAGATAATGCTTCAGACATAAGTTGTAAGAATGATCTTGACTTGAGTTTGGGAACTAGGGGATCTTTTCTAAACAAAGCCAGGCTGTTCTAGTCACATGATGTAGAGAGACCAAAAGCTCCGGAGTTGTGGGAGAAGGAAGGGAAAGGCAGAGACTCGGAGATCTCGGTTACTCACAAATCATAGGAATATTAACTTGAACTTAGTGCCTTAGAGGCAGATAGATTGGGACACTCATGGAAATAGGACTTGAATTGAGAGCAAAGAGAGAGAAAAATGAAGGCTTTAGGGTGTTCTGACTGAGCAGTTATGGAATGACAAGGGAGACACTATAACACAATTAAACACCAAATTACTTCTGAGATTTGGTTTAAAAAATGCCAGAAAGAGTTATCATTTAGCACCTCTCTCAGATACCACTAATTTCAATTATTTAAGTTGCTTGTGTGAGGAAGGCTGAATGGCTGGTGTGTGAACACATCTGGCCAATGGAGCACAGGAGTCTGTAGGCTCAGCATGAGCAAAGACCATCCAGTTTGCCACCTCTCTCCTTCCGGTGATTTTCCTCCTCTAGTGAGAAGTACTTCAAAACATTGCCATGCTAAGAATAGAAAATTGTGGATGTTTTGTGGATTCCAATTTTATATTTTTATTGAACAGATCTACCGGGTAAAGGCTTAATCCTGTGACTGACTAGGGTGAAGATCTCTCCTAAATTCACGGTTTAAGGGTACAAGATAAAGACAGGATAGTCCAATGAAATGTGCTAAACTTCAAATAAATTTTATTATTAATCCATTTGCTAACGTATCCCCAGCTTGAATAACAGTATCTGTCATTTATCATCACCATCATCATCACCATCTACCAGAAAGATGAACATCCGTGGATCACTGACTGTAACTATAGCTCCAGCTCTGCAAGTCCCACTCATCCTGAGGGTCCTTGGACAGGTACTCACAATGCTTCAAGCTGGGCATCTGAACCCGCAGTATAGAAGCCCCGATGGGGGAAGATTTACTGCAGGGACTTGAGAGCTGTTATCTGTGTGGCTGGAAAGGAGCAGATACTTTTTGGAAGAAGATGAATGGGGTTCTACAGGAGTGGTTAGAGTAGTTGGCGCTTGAACACGCCCCTCCCTGCCACATATGAGACACTACCATGGGAAAATCTGCCAAACTTCAATCATGATCCCGTCAAGGGGCATCCTAATGTTGGGGGTAGTACATGAATCTTAAAAGTATGATAGTGACTTACGTGTGAGTCTAAAGTGATCATGAACATTTGAAGTCCAGCTTGTCTTCCATCAGTACTTGTACCAAGAAAAATAACTGCACGCAGTACTCAAGATGTTTTTCTTTACTTACGTGAATGAACACTGTACTCCATGCTCGTTTCCCGAGAACAGACAAGCCTGCGGATTGCCCACAAGCTCTGGCCAAGCCACGTCCTTCTGCACGGAACTCGAAATCTGGCTGACGGTCCTTGCTCATGAGCACCTGGGAACTTCCTTCAAACACTGAAATTTAGCAAATGGGGACTCAGGGGCCTCACTCAGCAGAAGAAAGGAAACACCTCTTAAGGCAGATTAGAAGCTGCCATCTGCTGAACCCATCAGTCGTGTAAAGTTGGTTTCTACTTGGGACATGCCCTTGAGTAAACAGCCTAACGAACCAAGACGAGAAGGGAAATGGTGTTGGCAAGCAGGTAAAATGAAGTCTTCCTCATGAATGTCCCTTTACAAAGTTGATATTGTCACTTCAAAAATGACTCCTGGGAGGATGGTGATAGAGTGATCAAAGCATGCTTAGTCATCCTGGCCGGTTTGGCTCAGTGGTTAGACCATCGGCCCACAGACCAAAGAGGCGCGGGTTCGATTCTTGCCAAGGCACATACCTTGGTTTCAGTTTGTCTCCGGCCCTGGTTGGGGTCATGCTGGAGGCAACCAGTCAATATGTCCCACTCACATCAATGTTTCTCTCCCTCTCTTCCTCTCTCTCCCCACCTCCCACTCTATCTGAAGATAAATGAGAAAATATCCTAGGATGAGGATTTAAAAAAAAATTAAAAAACAAAAAAAGCATGCTAGTCTATATAAAAAAGCAAGTTTTGATTCAAATGGAGGCCATGTGCCACTATATTCTCTTGTCCCTGGGAAGCATCTCTTTGCAGATGCCGTGGTATATTTTGTTCAGAGGTGGTTCTGGGCTTAAGTTTAGCAACATGGGAATCACGCGTGTATTTTCCGCTCTGGTCCAGTGAACCATGTGGTGCATCCAAACCCTCCAATCGGAGTCTGCAGAAGTTCTGGGCGTGAGTGGTCTAGAAAATCTCACCCACCCACTTTTATTCTGAGGGGACAGTCCCCGAACCCTTGACTTCAGCAGCTCTAGAACATAATGAAGGAATGACACCAATTCATCCCAAATCTGCAAGGCTTGGCCACACTGTCCCGGACCATTTTCCCAGGAAGAAGTTGGGGCATCTGACACCTGGTGGTGTGGACGCAAGGGCAGGACACACACAAGAACTCGATGTCAACAGTCTCTTCTCAGTTTTCCCAGTAGCCACTGGAAATGAGTCAACTCTTTTGCAAATGTTTCCTACTCCACTCAGGTGGCACCGACCCCCGAGGACTTGGTGATTTTTGAGTGTTTCAGCTCTGACCTGGATTCCACCTCTCAGTGAATCTTTAGCTACTATTTAATTCCCAGAATCAATCAGAACAGCTTAGAATTATTTGAATATTATTTTGTATTCAAATATACTTTTCCTCTTAATTTGTGGCTGGAGGCAAGCTTTGGAGAGCAGACATGGAGGGACGAGCGTCCCCAAAGCGTCAGGCGATGGGACTTGGGATCATCCAACACCAAGCCACAACGTTTCAGTCTTTTTCTTTGTGTTAGCTGCCCTGTGCTGCCGCTAGACACAACCTCATGTAAAACTCTGTCTTTGACAAGACTGACCTTTTGCCAGGTTATGAGGTGAGGTGTGTGGACACGGGCAGGTCGCTGCCGGCCTCGGGCACATGGGACACTCGGTTCCCGCGAGACCCGCCCGCCCTCGGGGATGAGGGGGTTTCCGCCTCTCCTGCCAGTCCTCAGGGACATACCGCAGAAGGAGCCCACTCACCCCAAGGAGGGGTCTAAAGAGCAGTAGCTCGAGTCAGGAGCCCGTCCCGCGATGTGCTCCCCTCACCCCCCACCTGAGAATGAGGTACCACACCAGGTGAAGAGGGACATGGAACACTTTTTAATGTCAAGTCAGAGACAACCCCTCCCTCCCCTAGCCCCATCCCACTTTCCCTCGTCACACCCAGGACCCCCCCCCCCCCCTCCGAGGCCTCTCTGGTCCCCAGACTTCGGGGGAGGAAAAAAGGTTACCTAAAAACTGCATTTTCTTCTCTTTCATACACACGCACACAAAGGTGGGCAATTAAATAAAATAAACCAAGAGGATTCGACTCTCCAGTGGTCACAAAGGCATCAGAGATCCCCAAGGGGCCGAAGCAAGTGGTCACTGCCTGTCGCTGGCGCGGTCGCTTGTCGGTCAGGGCGGAGGGGCGAGGCGCCCCTGGGAGCCACCCCTAGAAAAGGGCCTGCGCCTGGTTTCAATGGGTTTTTTTCTCTTTTCGCTTTGTAGAAATGTCTCTGACATGTAAATAACCCAAAAAAAAATAAAAAGGCAGGAGCTGATTACACAATTACCAGTAAACTCTATCATCGTTTAGAAGGTCAACACGGCTGAAGCCATATACAGCATGCAGTAACGTCTGAGAAAGGACCCTGCTGAGGAAGAAAAGGGCTAGGACTCTAACAGAAAAAATATATGTATATATACTGTGTAATATATGTCATCCAAAGCACAGCCGGCCCACGCGGCTGCCGGCCCCGCGCCTGCACAGCGTGGAGCAGCACAGCAGAGGTCGGCACGCGGTGCCGGACTGAGGAGGGCTCTGTGGCGCTGGTGGCGAGATTGGTTAGATCGTATGTGTGTTCTGTTGTGTTTTTTTCGGTGGATTTGCCAAATCCTCACCAGGCGGTCAATGCCCGGTGTGGGGTCCACCAGTTGTAAACCTAGTTAAGTGCACTATTCTTTTTTAATCTTTAACAAACTTCTCTTCACCCCTTTCGTTTGTGTGGTTTTTAGTTTTGTCTTGTCTCTGCACTACGTTCTAGACTCATATCAGAAAATATAATGAATACAATTAATGATGACTCAGAACCCCTTATTGTCCGTGACGTCCGTGTAGTGAAAGGAGAGGGAAAAGGAGAACGTTAACCATGTCTGCTGAGACTCGGGCTGGGGGGTTGGAGCTGGCAGCTGCCTCGGTTAGTTTCCTTTTTATTTGTTTATTTTGTAATTTGCGTTTCAGACACACACACCAGTGGCACAGTCTACCGGGGCCCCGGGGCACATCTGGGCCACGCGGCTCCCTCTGTGCTGGTCTCTAGTGACTGACTGACTGGGGGTGGCCGACTCCAGACTTTTCCGTGGTGGGGCAGGTGAGGGGCAGGGGGCCGAGCGCGTCCAGCCGGGAGCAGAAGTCACCCAGTGCAGCTTGTGGGCTGAGCAGAGCCGGCTGTGCGCGCCCCCGCTGGGGGAGGAAGAAAACCCAGCTGAACCTACATGTCTGCAAGGCCTGCCGGGACCCGGCGTCCTGGTGACCGTGTTTCCCCAGGTGTCCTTGCTCCCGCCCTAGAATGGGCCCAGTGGCCGTGTCTCTGAGTGTCCTCTGATTACATCTCATTGGAAGGGTTTGCGCCGTGCCTGTGTCGGAGTTGCCGTTGCGTGGGGTGGTGGCGGTAGTGCAGGCAGCGGTTCCCGTGGGGGAGGGGCACTCAGATCAAAACTTGAGGAGCAGGAAGACCAGGAGAGGGAGCAGCCAAATGCAGCCTGCCCTCCTCGGCGTCCCGTTGTTCACCTCGCTGACCGCACCGGGGCCTGTGGAGGGAACACACCGGTCATGAGCAGCGAGCGCGGCGGGCCGGCCGCGGCCGGGTCTGCTGCCCTTAGGCCTGTCTGACCAGGCCTCCCTCTGACGGGGAGCATTGGTGTCTGTCCCCGCTCCCTAGGAGGGGCTACATTACCCACAGCATCCACAGCTTCGATCCCAAGGACACACACTGTACAGGGGAGCCTCCCCTGGCGAGGACAGAACACAAGGCCCGGGTTAAAGTGGGCGGTGGCCACTGCTCCTTTCCTATGCAGTCTGCTAAGGCAATGGCTCAAGGTCATGTTCAAGAAGGTATCTTACTCAGAGCTACAATAGAGTGAGACCCTGCACTCGGTGCATCGCCGCCCACCACGCCGAGCCCGCCGCCGTCACATCCGCATCCCCCTCCAGCTGCTCCAACTGTCACTCCAGAAGGACCTGCTGGCCGCCACGGTCTGCCTCCCTGCGCTGCTGCGTGGGGCTCAGCGTCCTCTGTCAGTCACTGCGCTCAGGGCAGAGCGTGGCTCTCCGCCTGCAGCACTTGGCCTCTTCCCATCTGGTCTTGGTGACAGCAGACTCGGCTCGAGCATCACCTGCCTGAGAAGCCAGACCCAGCTCACTGATGTGGGTGGGAACAAGCAGAGGAGAGGGGCCCTTGGCTGTGCGCGTGCAGCAAGGGAAACCTCAAGTGGAGAATGTCTGTGAGGGGAATGGATGGCACCTGCCCTGTCTGGCCTGCTGACAGACACTCTCTGAAATGAAGCCGAGTCTGGACGGCAAGACCACGGACGTGTCATCCAGTTCCCCAGAAGCCTTCCTACATTGTGAAGCTTCGGCTTTCTGGCCTCCTTAACCCGGTGGCCAAGAGTGCCCACGGCCAGCGGGGCTCCGATTCATGGACAGCGCTGGAGTTTCGAGGCCCAGGTGAATTAGGTACCCAGGGAAGCGTGGCACCTCCGCAGACTGGCCTTGCTCCGGCACGCTCTGCCGCACTGAATTAACGGAGTATTTAAAGCCCGTGTCCTCACTGGGACTGAAGGAACAAGGCCAGAACTGCTTGCCTGGCTCGGTTCTGTTCCTGCAGACCAGCCTCAGACCAGGCTTCCCGATTCCATATGAGATTATTCCATCGCGTCCTAAAACTCAGGGCTGGGACGCACTGCCCATGTAACTGCATTTCCTAGACCTTCTGGAGAGTCTCTGACCGTGGTCAGCTAACTCGTCCTGGGTCTGGAATGTGGCACGTTCTCGCCTTGTGGGTCGCGTGATCTGGGTCGCGGTGTTCTCGAAGCCAGACTTTCTGGGCCATTTAATGAGAAGCACAGGGAGGCTCCTCTACCCTCCACCCTGCGGGGAGGGGACAGTCCCGGCCACACAAAGCTGAAGGCACCTGCCAGGAAGTCCCTCTTCCTAGCTCTTCCCTCTGTTACCTGCGCAGTGCTCCCTGGCATCCCAGGAGAGGAGCCATGCCCGGTCCCTTGCAGGGTGACAGGTTACGCTCCGCTCCCGTGAGGAAGCCTCTCTGCCCTGGGCCACCCACCTTGAGATCCTACACGGTGAGACCCCCGCCCGTGCCTGAGGCTGGCTCTATAGGACACGTCTGTGTCGGAGTCCATGGGACCAGCGGCCTTTGTGGGAGCTGGGTTCCACGTTTCAGCAGGGCAGGGGGGTGGCTGTGATCCCTCACACCACGTGCGCATGGCACACGATTCTGAACGCGCTCTGCACGCCCGGCACGCGGCGCTCCTGCCAGGCACGCACCTGCAGGCTCTTTCTCTCTCATCGCCTTTGCTCTCCCGAGCACTCACAGGCGGCTTTGAAATCCACCCCCATTCATCCCAGCACGCTCCCTCCCTTGCAGTCCCCGGGCCTGACTTCGAAGAGGCCTGTGGTGGGACAGGAGGGAACAAAGCCCGGTCCCAGCGTTCAGCTGCTCTCCTGCGTGGCTTCCTTTCAGGGCCGCTCCCAGCGGAGTTCTTCAGGGAGGAGAATGGAGAGCGCCTCATGCCAGGCATCCAGCCCAGCAGGACCCTGGCTCGTTATCTGACTTTGTAAGAAAAGTCAGAAACCTTGTTTACGGGCCAGGGACTCTGCAATGCCGCAGGGGAGGCTGCTGTGACCCCCCCACACCTGCAGGGCACCACAGGGGGCAGGTTTGCTCTGCAGGTTGGCTGTCTGGGCCTCTGTGTTCAGTTTCATCGCCAGGCACCTAAGAGTCCTTTGTGGCTCTGCAGCCTGCTGGGCAGCACGGAAGACAGCAGGTACGAGGCTCTTAACCTGTTGTCAGCAAACTGGCCACGGAAGGAAGGAAAAGGCCACTGAATGCCCTAGAGCCACCTCCTGGTGCATTGTTCCCCTGGACAAGCTCCCAGGGCCTCATCTTCTGTCCCAGATCCGCGGGGGGCTGTCACTCACGATGGGGGGTACCCCAGCCTGTTCACCCCTGCACACAGTCTCTCCCCTCCCCCCGCCCATCCTGCTCTCCTGACAGCCGGGGAACCTGGCCTGCACCTGCTCAGGAGGAACGGGCGGGGCTCCACGCACCCTCTTGGAGGAGCCCCCCGCAGCCCTCCTTTCAGTGTCCACGCACACTCACGCACCAGGCCTCGGCCCCCGGGTTTATTCTGTATGATAATTCCAGGGTGCGGTTTCTACAATTCCAAATCGATCACGCTACAAACCTACTGCATGCCCACGGCCTTCGCGAAACTTCCCAATGCTTAGGAGAGCACTCCGGGATTCGTGGTCTGCTCGCTGCTCTGCCGGCCTAGCTGTTCCTCCTGCTGTGTGTTCTGCAGCTTCTCCTGCCCCCAACTCCATGCAGCACAAGCACGCCACCAGCACACATACAAGCATGCGCACACGAGCGTGTACCCTCCACCGTGTTCCTCTTCTTTCTCATCCTCGTCCCCTCGGACCCTGTGTCGGAAGTGCTTGTCACTCAACTCACTCACACCTTGCTCCAGGTTCTGCTCTGGCCTCCCATCACCTCCTCCAGGCAGCCTTCCTTGACTTGCAGCAGTTAGTTTCCACAGCACCACATGCACCCCACTATTAAAATGCCTACCACCCAGTGTTACAATTTTCTTTATTCACGTAGCTTCTGTATTTCCTTTTCTGTGCTGCAAGCTTCTTAAGGGCCCTCTGTGTCTAACTGTTCCCATGGCAGGTTCTCAATAAATGCCTGTTGGAGGACAGAAAGAGCCACACCATTGTGGTACATGTAGACAAGCCCATATTTTGTCTCTGTGTTTTTCTTAAGATTCTACTTGGAGAAGAAAAAAAAAGTGCAACAAAACATAAACTTTTTTCCTACTTTGCCTTTTTTTTTAACCTCAGTTTTCTCTTCCAAACACTCTTCCCCTCTTTTCCAATAAAAGTCACTGCAAATTCCTGTGGTTGCAGGAAGGTGTGCACAGAGTAAAGCCACCTGGATCGGGACGATGGGCAGAGCACGTGCTGTTGAAGGGCCCCAGCCCTTGGCGGACACTCGTGTTCCGTGCACTCTGATAAGTGGAAACTGAACCTCAGAGCTTCAGTGACTTTCCCAAGCCCCGTTGACGTCTATCTCCAAATGCAACGTTCCTTTCCACTAACTCACAGCTGTGGGACTCATTCATCTGCAGAAAATGAGTGGAAAGAGTGAGGACCTGGGCTGCCCATCCTGGCCCTGGTGAAGCCAGGGGCCATCCCGCACTGCCCAGCGCAGGGAAGAATGCTGTGACATGAGGCCATTTGCCCAGCGTGCGGGTCACTGCATCCCGGAGCCTGTGCGGCCAGGGGACAGCTCAGCCATCTACCTGGTGACGTGCCGCATGCACGAGGCCTCTGCCCTTCCTCGTCACACCTCCACTCCATAGCGGATGCCTTCATTGCCTCTACCTCATTAGAGAGATGCAGAGGCCTAAAGAGACTAATCATCAGAACAGTTAGGGTCCCAGAAAACTGTGATGAGTGTCACCTATTCATCAGAAACATCTTGCAAGAATGAAAGCCTCAAATAAGACTCATTTTATTTGTAGCCAAGTGACTCACACAAGAACCTCCCCCTTCCTTCCATTTTGTCTCCCTCCCACCATCCCTTCCAGTTCTAAGTTAGAGGGGGGAGAGAGAACGGGGTAAGCGAAGGGCAGCATGCAAGGCCTAAGAAGATCGTTGCATTAGAGCATCCGTGTGCAAGGAAAGAGGCAGGCCTGCTACTGAGGCACCCAGACATGGAGCTATTCTGGGCACTGACAGGTGCTCATTAGTGCTGCCAGCAGAGAAGTTAGATTTCTGCAAGTGGAAGCTGCCCAGGGAGAATGGCATGTCCTTGGGGAGGGGTTAATCTAAACTGATGCTGAGACAGCCCAAGGGCAGGGTGGAGGCCCGCTGGGCTGCTCTCTGGGTTAGCTCAGAACAGAGGCCTCTGGGAAGCAGGCAGGTTTTGCATGTCCAGTCCTCACCAAGGCAGTAGCTGCCTAGGAAATAAATATACCAACCTTTCCAAGGGGTCAGGGCTGTAGATTTCACTTCTAAAAGAAATTAAAAACAAGCCACTGTTAAGGTAGAAAGCAGTCGGAGGCAAGTGCTCTGCCCCCCAGTGGGTTTGAGGGTGAGCCAGCACACCCAGCCCTCATTCCTGCACCCCTCCGTTTGCTGGGAAAGCAGTTGGCATTACGGGTGACTTGGGGAAAGATACGAATGATGTTCAAATTAGGTTGCTGACCCACAGAGTGCCAATACCCTCCCCCCCCCTTGTCCTAGCAGGGGACTTGGGTGCGCCTGCAAACCTGAGGCCCCGAGCCAACAAATACCTCTTGGTAGAGCAATGTTCTTTCTTGGCCACCTGACTATCCCCGAATGTGTTGAAGTCTGTAGGCCTTAAGTGCACAATGGATGACACTACAGTAATTTGAACATGAGTGACTCTGCTATGTTTGAGATGTAAAAGTTTGCCTGGCGTTCATGCATTCATCTTAGAAACACTGCAAGAGCCAGAGGAGCCCAGACCTTGCTCCCTGACTGC